TGAGAGTTAGATTCAAAGGCTTGATTCAATTCAGTAAAACATTTTTGGCAAGAACATTGCTTTGGAGGATCATAAAGTCAGGCCCTCCTATTATCGGTAGCTGGCACTGATGTCTCCAGCATAAACTTACCCTTTTTCATTTGTAAGTTATCTATGGGATGTTATTTTTCAGAGTTTATTGATGATCCTTGCCTGAATAAATTAGTACATTGTGGGATTAGAAAATGGTGTTTTCCTCATTCCTTCTCCATTTTTTTTAGCTGGCGATGAACATCTGCTGAGGATGAAATACAGTTCCTTCCCAAAGGCAGGATATATGTTTCTTTAAAATTTCCAGAGTAAGGAGTTAGTAAAAACAAGTTTTCCCTTACTTTTGCTTCAGAAAATTAATAGTAGTAATATCTCTATGTACTCATAGCTGTTTATTTACTGTTTAATAATAAATTAGAGTCACTATTTTTTTCCCCTCCTGACTGTGGCAGTTTAAAGCTAGAACATAAATCTCTAAAAACAAGCTAAATAAATGCTGGAGCAGCCCTCCCCACACTGGGGAGAAAAGATCTTGTAGAACTTTTTTCCTTTAAGGAACCCCTGTACACATTTGAGCTTAGGATGCATTGAAACAGCACCTGTAAAACAGGCTAAACTTCAGTTCATATTCAAATTTCTCCCATGTCAAATTTGCCCCAAATCTGGGACAAGTAGGCTCATTACTGAGCAAAATGCCTGAAATTCATGTTGCAACATTGTATCAAATCTTAAAAAGATAAACACTAACTTTTCAACACTTCTATCTCAGTCTGACTCCTTAATTACTGACTTTTGGAGAGAACAGAAAAAGAAAGATTGTAACAGTTAACGACTAACCTTTCCTTAATTAATATGAAAACTGTACTATTGATTACACAGCTCAATAACACTTTACACTGTAATGTAGTAATTTATTTTTTTCTTTTTGCTAGATGTAGCAAACAATCAATTCTGACTAGCTCAAGGAAAATAAAAGTAGATCCTGGGTAGTTGAATGAAAGGAAAGGTTGACCAGTCACGACACATCTCTGAAGACTCTGCAGTGGAGGTTTGGGGAGCTGGTCCCCAAAGTGCTGCAGTGTCAAGTGCCCCAGCTGTGACTCCTCTCCGTCCTTATGCTGAACAGATTGCCTGAGGGAGCACCTGATGGGCCAGGTTGGGGGCTGGGCTCACCCCGATGTGGTCGGAGAGGCGGGATCATGGAGCCAGGACCTGCCCCGGAGGTTCAGCCCCCGGAATGGTCTCACCATGATTGGGCAGCTTCCATTAAGGAAACTTCAAAAGTTCTTTTTTTAAAAAAAGAAAAAAAGTTATTTATTTATTTTTAGAGGGGGGAAGTGAGGGAGAAAGAGTAGGAGAGAAACATGAATGTGTGGTTGCCTCTCCCACACCTCCTATTGAGGACCTGGCCTTCAACCCAGGTATGTGCCCTGACTGGGAATCAAACCAGGGACCCTTATGGTTTACAGGCCAGCACCCAATCCACTGGGCCACACAAGCCAGGGCCAAAATTTCTTTAAAATGAGCTGGGGGTGGCTGTCGGTGTCGTTGATGGTGTGTTGAGTAGAGCTGCAGGAATTTCATGAACTTCACACTATCATTCAGACAGGAGTGCTATCTGTTTTGTTGAAACGAAATGTCTTAGGTGAAGTGCTATCATTTTTACTGGTTTGGGGGACGATAGTAAAGGTGCCAGTTTGAAAAACAAAATTTGGGGAGAACAAACATCTGTCCTTGACTAGGGAATGTTTACATAAATATCCAGACTGCTAATTTCAGACACTTGTTTATTTCACACACCTGTAAATGTGCTGAGTCACAAAAGGGTCATCTCTTTTTCAGGCGGCATGGTGGCTATGTAAGCATGGCTGGATGATTGGTGCCATCTTGAGACGTCAAACAATGAATCAGAAACAACAAGTGCTACATCTAAGAAGAAAACAGCAGGCAGATTGCTCTGTGGCTATTGATTGGACACACCTGCACTTAATAGTAACACGGTCAAAGGCAGGCAAATTTCTCTAGTGTGTAATTTTGGGTTAGAGTGCTGGGCACACAGTTTGCTTAATCTCAGTTTTGGAACAATAAAATCCCTTTCAAAAACAAAAGGGATGGATTTTAATGCTATACTTCCATTAAGTTATATAGCATTGACGTAAGTGTGGAATATGCTGGACTTCCCACTTGAGCACTGACTGGGGTGGGGTGAGGATTGTTCAGAGTCCTAATTAGCTCTTGTTCTTCAACCTGCATTTCCATATCCATGGGGCAGCACCATGAGGTGTAAACATCCTGGCTTTTCACCTTGTCCTACTGTAATATCGTACAGAGAATAGCAATGATCTGGGCGTTCACCTGCTGGTCTAGTGATGCTGACACAGTGGAGTCCAAGCACCAAGGCACCCAGGAGAACCCAGGGCATTCAGTGTTCATGACAGAGGCTGACCATTGGAGACGCCAAGGGATCCCAGGAGAAGGCGAGAAGTTTCTTTTAGGGTAAAGTGTGAAGACGCAGTTCTAGCCGCTTCATCCTGTCTTTCCTTAAAATGATCTGCACCTCCCTCTTCCCTGAATTCCCCACCCGACAGTCCTTACAGGGTTATCTTGGTAAGTGCCTGGCACTTGGAAAAAGCTGAGGAAATTCAGCTTTTAATTTTTATCCCGAAAACTGCTCTCTCCATCAGATTTGGACTAGGGAATCCACTGTTTCACATCCACGACATGGGGTATGCCTGGAATCCATAGAATCTCCTACATTTTTTACCAGTTAAATGGTTTTCTTGAATATATTCTTGTTACAAGATTCAGGCAATACATTAGTGTGTAGATTGAATTTGACAGTCCACCCTTCCGCCCTTCTTCCCCTCTCCCTCCCACATCCATTTCCATACTCCCAGGTAAGTCCTGTACTGTGAACAGTTATCTGTATCCTGGTCTTTTCCTATTCATATTAAATAAATACATACAGGTACTCCTTATTAGCATAAATACAATCATACTGAGTTTATTATTCAATGAGTTCCTTTTTTAAAATAGCATTTCTTGGAGAGCTTTCCATATTGCTACATAAGACCACCTCATTTTTTTAATGGCTGCATAATATTCCATAATTTGGCTGCCACATAATTATTTAATCATTTCCCTATTGCTGGAAATGTGGGCTCTTCCTTTTTCTTTTTTTCTCTAATTGCAGACAGAGCTACAGTGGACTTCTCAGTAAAGTCATCTTTATACTCAGACACAAATGTTCCTGTGGGATCGTTTCCTAAAACAGGAGCAGTTGAGCCAAAGGGCATGTGTTTTAAATATTTATAGCTATGGATAAATTGTCTTCCAGAAAGTCTTGATCAATTAACACTTCTTTGTCACCACTGGAAGTTTTCAATACTTTAGATTTAAAAACTTGACAGTTGAGAACTATTTCATCATTTTAATTTGTACCTGTGTAAAATCAAGGTTGAGTTTTCACAGACACACTGACAAAATGTTTATCTGCTGTGAATCGCCTGTTCATGTCTCTTGTCCATTTTTTTTAACGTTGTTTGTAGCTTTCTATGTGTATACATGTGCTGCAAATATTTTCATACTCTGCTGCTGTATTAAAACAAGTTTCTTAATTTTTATGAGTAAAGTATGTCCATTTTTTGGTTATAGATTATGTGGTATGGGTTTTGCTTAGAAGGGCTTTTCTCAACATTAGATGAGGGAAATATTTTAGGCTCCCTTCCAATATTTTATTTTCCCCAGGTATTTAATTTTTTGCATTTTGTTTTTCAGAATCTGAGACAAGTATAATTTCTTCAACTTGTCCCAATGGGTTTAAAATTACACTTTTATCATAAATTAAATTTTTGTGTATATATATATATATATATATATATATATACCTGGGTCTATTTCTGCAGTCTCTATTCTGTTTTATTCATCTATTTGTCTTGTCCTGCATTGTTGCCATAATTATTTTTAAAGAGCATTTGTAGCTGTTTTTTTGATATACACATTTTGATGAAGTAGTAAAGTCTCCCCATTGTTTGTGTTCAAAAATTATTTGTCTAGTGCATTTTTTTCTTTAAAATTAATTTTAGAATTGAAAACTTGTAAAAACTTTAGATTGTAATACTGTAATGAATCTGAGATTTTAATTGGGATTGCAACTGAATTTACAAATTAATTTAAGGAGAATTTTTCTTTTTTACTTTATTGTACTTGATAAATAAAATCATATATATTTAGGGTACACAATGTGATAGTTTGATATATGTATACACTGTGGAATGATTACTACAATCAAGCTCATTAACATGTATTTCAGCATTGTATTTCTTTTTCTAGAAATACGGTGTGCATCTCCATTTATGCAAGTCTCTCACATCTTTTAAATTTTTATTATATCACATGTAATACTCAGATCTAGTACCATAATAAGAGCAGATCTTTGAATACTTTCCATTTCCTCTATAGTTACTGATCTATTCAGATTTTTACAATATATTTTAAAGTAAGTTTTGGTAAATTATATTTTTATGGAAAGTCATTTATCTATATTTACAAAATCATTGACATGAAGTTGTACATATCCCCTTACATCGGTGTTTAGAATTCTAACCTTTTTCATTTCTAATGTCTTTTTTTTAACCTAGCATCTATTTTATCAATTATGTCAAATAATATATTTTTGTGTCTTTTTGATCAAGTCTACTGCTTTTTAAAATATTTTATTTCAAATTTTTACTTTATTTGTCCTGTTTTTCTTGGATTTTGATGTTTTTGTCTAGCTTCTTGAGTTAAATACTTAGTTCATTTATCTGTAACTTTTTCCTAACATATAAAATACATTTAGGGCTATATAGTATTATCCTCCTTCAAGTACATCTTACTTGATATGTAACATAATACTCTCACTGTTGCTTATTTCTACATAGTTTACAATTTCAACGTTTTTCTTATTAGGATTCTTTTAATCTGTTCAAGATAGTTCAAAATTCCACGTTGGTTAGATTTGTTTTTTGGGGCACAAAATAACTTTCCCTCTGTGGTAAACATTTCTCCTCTATAGCCTTATTGAATCTATTTTTGGTATCCATTTTGGTACTAATTTCCCCAGGTTTCAGAGTAAAAGTAGTAAATGAAGTGCAAAGCTTGTATCTAGGATACTACAAAAATAATAGCTATTATATGATGGCTGTCATTTTTTAAAGCCTGGTCCTGCTTGAAGAATTACTTCAACAGCAATGAAAAGAGGCATGCTTTTCCACCCATGATGTAATTTGCCTGGTTATACTTGCATAGTTTTCAATAAGGACAGAATCTTTGGAAAACAACAACAAAAAAAGACCAAAGTTTTGTGCAACCTATGGCTTTTTATAACCAACAGACAAGGTACGTGAAAAATATCAATTACTGCTCTTTAACTCTACTTTCCATTTCTAGATGCTTTAAATAGGATAGAAAAAGCAAAGCGACAAAACAAATTCCATACACTACACTGAAGGCTGACATTTCAGTGTTTCATTTGCAATGAATCAATAGTAAAGTCATAACTATAGAAAGGAAAACAGTTATCATTTAAGTGCCTCCTTAGTTCCTGAATGTTTTTCCATAAAGAGTAAACGTGAGCCATGTATTACTGCAGAAAAAAGTTACTTTTTTCTTTTCATAAACGTTTTTGCTTCTTTCAAAAGCTCTTCTACATCTTCCTTCTCTTCATCCTCCTTTCCCGGCTCCCAGTCAGAATCTTCATCTGTGGGCTCATACTCTTCTTCCTCAGCATCTAGAAAGCTGTCGTTCAGGCCATGCTCATTGGGTTGCCCAGTGTCTTCACCGGCAATGCTTCTCCCTGGAAAACAGAAGTTTTGTACCCAAAACATGAATTGCCACTCAACCTGAAATTAGAGATGGCTAACTGTAAAATGTCCTTCTCCATCAAGAAAAGTTAATTTTACTTAATAAATAGCTAATCACCACAAATGTCTAAAAAGGGGATTAAAATGATCATTTTAGGGGACTACCATGAGGCTCCTGAGACTAAAATGTCCCATGAGATTCATAAGAATGGCTCTTTCATAATATTGTAATCATATCCAGGCTACCCTACATTCTGGGATGGCAGATTTTGGTCCTAGTTATTCACCGCCCCCCCTCCCTGTGATATGATTGCAGTTCTCCACCCCCAGTAACACTAGACTTGGCCAAAAAAAGTGAGTGGAAGTGGTGTGTGCCCTTCCAAGGAGAAGCTATCAGAGCCTTTCTGGGGTTCTGCTATTGTTATTCCCTCCTGCTGTGAGAACAGTGTGTCCCACATAGTGGCTGATCCTTCAGCCTGAATCCAAGCTGGGCCAAGGCCGCAGCCAAGAGGCAGCTGGAACATGAAGAAATACATCTCATTTTTGTGCAAGGCACTGAAATTTGGGGATTATCACAGCAAACGTAGCACAATCTGATTGACACACAAGGACTGTGATCAAATGAGAAGATACAAGTTTATATACTTTGGAAAGTTTAGTTTATAAATCTATGATATTCAACAGTTCATCCTAAAAGTAAGATTACTATGGAGACAGACATTAGAATTTATGGATTTCTAATTATTGTTATAATACTGGAATTCTTCTGTCTCCAAATTAATTTCTTCCCTCGTCCCTCTCTGTTTTATATTCTTTCCACAGTGAGCAACAGAGTTGGTTTAAAATAAGGTGGTGAAAGACGCCGGGGTGATGAGGAGCATTTAAGAGACAAGTAGGGCCATTCTATCTGGAAATCTTCTGAATGGCAGAGGACAATCCCTGGGAAGAGCAAATGTGTGGATATAAATATCAACGTCCATACTTTTACGTATGCTTTAGTTGACCTCTTCCTAAAATGTTCACATGCAATAGACAGATATAACTTAAATGCAAGTCATGGAATTTAATGGGGAAAAATGAAAATGATGACAAAGGAAGTAATTTATATGTCCTCTTAATTTTCTTAACCCAGACATTTATATTTTTCTTAATATCACTACTTATTCCAGAGAAGATTTGAGACAGCTTATAATAATAATAGAGGTAAAAATACAAATAAAAGTAGAAATTAAAAACATAAAAGGTAAAACATAAATATGTCAATCTCAATTTTTAACATAATTATCATAAATTGAGCATCAAATTTCTCCCTGTGTTTCTTGGTAGCCAAGGCTAAACGGGGCTACATAATAATCTGCACAATTCTTACTAGCGTTCGAATCCCACCAGTTCCTTAAGTGAAATCTTGTACTGTAAGTATCTGTATACACTTCTTATCTCCTTCAACATCTTGAGGGCATGTTTTATGTGTAGCCAATATCAATTCCGCACATAACTTTTATGATGGAGTACATGTAAAAAACAGTTAGAGGGTAGTCTGTAGATGGGGTGGGGAGTGAAGAGGCAAAAAACAACAGTATCTCTGTATTTGCCTGTTTTGCTCTTGGAAGTGTGTGTGTGCGCGTGTGTGTGTGTGTGTGTGTGTGTATAACTAATGACAGCTCAATCAAGAGTTTCCTTTCATTTAATTTTTTAGCATATTTCAAGAAAAATATACATAAAGCTGAAACAACTTCAGGTTGTCCTTCCACTTTATTGGTTGTTTCTTCTCAGTCTCCTTTGTTTGGACCTTCTTTATCTTCCCAAACTCTAAATTTTGGAATGCGAAAGTTTCAGGCTAGATGAATCCATCCAGGCTTATATCCTAAACTCACAAATTTAATCTTTTAAAAAAAATGTTATGTATTTACTTTTAGAGAGAGGGGAAGGGAGAGAGAAAGAGCAGGAGAGAAACATTGATCAGTACACCCTCACTGAGAACCGAACTTGCAACTCAGGCACGTACACCGACCAAGAATTGAACCGGCAACGCTTTGCTTTGCAGAACAACACCCAACCAACTGAACCACACTGGTCAGGGCTCACATATTTAATCTTAAACTCTGATCAATGCCTGAATTCCAGAGTCTCATTTATCTGACTATGTACTATTGCTACTTGGATGGCTAACAGGCATCTGATATCTGACATTTCCAGAACACAGCTCTTGAGTTGCTTCATCCAAATCTAGTCATTCTCTTACCAGTCGTAGTATATGCCTTCTCCAATTTCCAGTTGCTTAGGTAAGAAACCTTAAAGTTATCCTTGAATACCCTCCACTGAAAACCCAACATTCAACATGTCAAGAGATCCTGTTGGCTCTACCATCGAAATATATCCACTACTTCTCACCACATCCATTCCAACACCTTAGTCCCAATGCCATGATCACCTTCCTGGCCTATTCCAATATCCTCTTAACTGGTTCCCCTGCTTCTGCTCTTGTCTGTTCTTTACAAAGAAGCCAAAAAACCTTCCAATAGCTTCCCATCTCACTCTGAATAAAATCTAAAGTCCTTACTTGTAGAACTGAGTCTCCAAGACTCTACAAACTGGCCTACTGATAACTTTCATCTCATCTCATCTGCCACCCTTTACTTACTCTTTTTGTTCATTTCTACCCTCTCTTTGCTGCTCCTTGAATAGTCCAGCCATGATCAGCTCTGGGGCTTCTGAAGTCACCACGTCTGCTGCTGGCATGCTCTTCCCTCAGAGGGTAACAAGGCTTCTTCTCTTTACCTAGAATGTTTGTAATGTTCTTCATGCTAGTTATTGTTGTTCTTATGTGGCCGTCTATCCCCCTAACCCAACAAAAAGTCTTTTTTTCCCCTTTATGTGTCTCTTGATTTTTTTAAGTTTATCTTTATTGATTATGCTATGACAGTTGTCCCCATTGTTCCCCCTTTGCCCCCCCTGCACAGTACCCCCCTCCCTTCAGTGGTACCCTCCTCCCCGCAGTGCAAGTCCATGGATTGTGCACGTAAGTTCTTTGGCTTCTCCATTTCCTATACTGTTCTTAACATCCCCCTATTTTGTACCTGCCATTTACGCTTCTAAACCCCTATACTTTTCCCCCATTCTCCCCCTTCCCTCTCCCAGCTGATAACCCTCCAAATGTTCTCCATATCTATGATTCTGTTCCTATTCTAGTTCTTTGCTTAGTTTGGTTTTGTTTTTTTGTTGTCATTTTACTGGTCATAGTTTTGATCTTCTTTTTTCTTAGGTAAGTCCCTTTAACATTTCGTATAATAAGGGCTTGGTGATGATGAAGTCCTTTACCTTTACTTTGTCGGGGAAGCACTTTATCTGTCCTTCAGTTAGCTTTATTGGACAGAGTAATCTAGGTTGTAGGTCCTTGCTTTTCACTTAAATAGCATGATTTAAGAAAAAGAAAAATAAACTCAAGGAGAAAATAAACTCAAAATTGACTTAGGAAAAAGCAAGCTCACTTGCTCAGACATACTCTATAGTTATATTTCAAATAAGCTAATGGAAATATAAGAAGATGTTATATATAGGCTTTTTTAGTGGCATCACACTATTTAGTTCTGTGGAAAATCTACTGGAAATTAAAAGAACATGAATGTTCAATGTAAATGGTGATCTGATATAAACAGTTTTTTAAAGAAGCAAATGGTATTTTTCTGATTAATATGTATATGCAGTATGTTGCATGCTTGTGTGGTCTGTGCTGTTGTAGAGCTTATGGAGTATGTGTGTGTGAGATATGTGTGTTTGTGTGGTATTTGTGTTATATTTTCATTTGATTACTTGTGTAGTGTGTTTTTGTGTTGTGTTTGTGTGGTATGTGTGTTTTGTATGGTTTGTGGTGTTATGTTATATGTATTTGTATGGTGTGTGTCTTAGTGTTCTGTATGAATTGTGCACTGTGTGTGCTTGTGTGGGGTGTGTGTTCTGTATAATCGTTGTGTATGTGTGCTTCATTGGTGTTTATCTGGTATATGTATTTTTTGTGGAGTTTTTTTTGTTTTGTGTGGTGTCTGGGTTATAAGTGTGTTTGTAAATTGTTTTATCTATGAATCAAAGGAACATTAAGTGATTAAATGACCTCAAAGATCCTTGCTGACTCCAAAATTCTAATTTTAAGGCCAAAGTAGAAATTTTCATTTTCTCTGCAGGTCACTGAAGTAATATAACACATGGGGATGGGTTGATAGTTTGACTTCTTTAAAGCAGCACAAGAGAAATAAGCCATTACTTATTTTTAAAAACTGATGGACAACCATGATAATGAAAAATAACAACCTTCAGAAAAATAGCAAACTGTTTAACATGTTTAAAACAACAATGTTATTATTTGGTATTTACATGTGGTAATTTCTGACTTTTCTAATTATACAGAGGAATTTGTAATATCAGGATGATAATACCAAAATTTGTATCTAACATTTCCTTTACAATTTAAAATTTCACTGTCAGTTCATATCCCAAGAATGAAGTCTGCAGAGCTACTGAAGAGTACAGTGTCACATGCATGTTGAAAGAAATGATGATTTTTATATGGAGAAAAGATCTTTCCAGGTTGCTGGTTTTTCCAAACAGTTTTTTGATGTAGGATGTAAGATGACAGCTGCTTAATAGCAGATTTATTGCTTAACATTGATAATTCTTCAGGTATTATTTTCCTTTCTTTCCTAGTAAATCTTAGGTCTAGGGCAGCAATTTTCAACCAGTGTGCCACAAAAAATTTTAAACCATGCAGTAACTGACTATTTAGTCAGGGGCACTGACCTCTTTACCTTTATTATTTTTTTCCTTTAGATTGTCAAATAAAAAAATGACAACAGCCAATACAGCAATAGCTATCTGGTGTGAATGAATCAAAATTACACCTATTTTTTTTTCAGATACATTTTTGGTATGCCACAGAATTTTAGTAATTATGTGAGCTATGAGATTAAAAAAAGGTTAAAATTCACTGAATTAGGGTATTAATTTTCACTACATAAAAACTATTTAGGCCAATATCTCTAAAGATAAAAATTTACTACATAAAAAAGACTGAGTAGTTTTTTTAAAAGCTTCATTTAACTGGTAAAGACTCATCTTTGTAATGTACCAAGCTGCTAGTTGGATACTTGTATTTTAGCTTTGAAAAAGCAGTTTGTGTAATTCTGATCTTCTGTATAATACATGAAGTTTCTTTCTTTTTTAAAATACTATTGCTCTAGCTTATTTCATATTCTAAAACCTCTTAGTTTTCTCCACACCAAATAGCAGTTTATACAATTTTATTTAAATTCCACTAAACTTTTGTACAATTTTATTTAAATTCCACTAACCTTTCTTAATAGTTTTCTTTCTAGATCTTTTGGGTTTTACTTCTGAAGAAAAAATATATATATATATATATGTACATGTGTACATACACTTGCAGAACTAGATAAATTTTAATATTATTATTAGTATAACCTTTTAAATTTTCAACCATGATTGGTACTGATCGCCTAGAAGAATGATGCATATTATATAATAATAAGAGCCAGAAAGAATGCCTCCAATAATCAGGTGATAAAATTCTGGAGACAATTTCTTTTAAATGCTGTCAATGGGTAAGGTAGCTTAAAAAAATAAATTTTATATTTATTTATATATTTATATTTATTTATATATATATTTATAATAAAAATTTCCTGGCACCAATTATTCTTGTGTTCAATATCTTGTGCTGAGACCACAGCACTTAGTAAAAGTATGGAGAGCTAGTGAAATTTTAAGCCAATTAGATATACAAGAAGCTTAAAAGTATGAGAACAGCCACACCTACAAAAACAGAACACACTATGTAAATTGTTACATATGTGGAAGAACCTTATAGGCTGAAATGTTTTAGGAGTGCTACAAATCAGAAATTAAGTAGTAAGAGTTTAATGTAGTTGTTTTATACCATGAAATACTATAGTACTTGGTATATGATATTAAATTATATTGTCTCATTATGTTATGATACCCCACATCAATGTTTAAATTTACAAAAAAAATCTACATAGTCCTTCCTTCTTATCTCTATTATCTGTAAATGTCATCTCTATTTCCTCAATCAGTTGGCAAATCTTATTGAGTCTTGCTTCAAAATCTCACTTTTATTCAGTCCCACCTTTCCACTCTCATGGTGGCCTAGTTCTGGCCCTTTTTTTCAACTACGTAGCTTACCTCCAGGCTTCCACCACACTAGTCCAGGATGTTCATCGTCACCAGCCTCATTTTGGTAAAATACTAGCTCACCATTATTTACTGATGCATCCACACGTGTGTTCCAGCCTTTGAGAGCTTCTATTTTATAATCTGGCCTAAATACATCCTGTTAGTATCCTCCACAGTAACTACAGAAACTTCATGCCAATTAAACCAATCCACTTGCTAATTCCAAACACAACTTACCGTTTTATACCTTGATTGATCTATTTATTCACTTTGTCTGAGATGTCCTACACCCATCTACCACAAGCTAAGAAACAAAGGTGATTGGATCCTACCACCTTAAAGACCAAGTTAACTTAAAATGTACCCTGATAGCCCCAGCACAAAGTGCTCCTTCTCCTTGCTCCCAGGTTTTACCTGGCAGGGGTGTCCAACCTTTTGGCATCTCTGGGCCACACTGGAAGAAGAAGAGTTGTCTTGGGCCGCATATTAAATACACAAACACTAACAAAAACAAACAAAAAAACCCTCAATGTTTTAAGTAAATTTACGATTTTGTGTTGGGACACATTCATAGCCATCCTGGGCTGCATGCGGCCTGTGGGCCGCAGGTTGGACACCTGTTAATCTCACCAGAAGCGTGTAGAGCTAGAGCTCATTTTCCTGTGTCTCCATAACTCTGCACTTAGACATACAATAAATGAGTGTCTGAGTAAATGAACCACTACATAAGTAAGATTAAGATCTTGGGTAATGTTAAACTTTAAGGATTTTGGAAATAAGAAAAATATGCCAGAAATCTGTATCAGATGTTGCTAAATTAAAAAATATGAGACCTTAAGATTTAAATTAGTATTTGAAATACTCCAGATACCTTAATTTATAGGTTTTAGAGTAGAAGAGATATTCTAATTATACTGCCACATAACAACCCTTGAAAATATAAGGCTAAACTGTTGTTTAATAATATCTATACTTTTTAAAAAATTGTCCTTCCAATGAAATAAAAAGATTTTCTTAAAAAATCAATTGTTATAAAAATGTGTTCTTTATACAGAAGATACCTCAAAGAGACTTTTCAAAGAAAATTCAAATGTTTTTAACTATGCCATATGATACATGTTGATAGAGTTTAGGAAAGTGGTTCCTATTTCTGTGAATATACACAGATGTGTCAAATGTTTTTTTCATGGAACAACGCTAAACTTTATCAATAAAATATATTTTAATCAATATTATTACATTGTTGTTGGAAAGGAAGTTAACAACCATAAATGCTACATCATTAAGTACAGTCTCAGTAAAAAAGCGTAACATGTAACATAACCTCCACACATATGAGCTCAGATAAAATGAGTATATTGGTGTCTGGATTACTAAAGTTCAAAAGTGTGTTTCAATCAGAAATATCCAACGGAATTTCCAATGGTGAATTTAATTATTTTTATGACTTAGCTACAAGCTGGTTGTGTTTACACATATGCAAATACATGTAGGCATAGCCCGGATAGTGTACATTTTATTCTCTCACTCTGTGGGCAGAAATACTGTGTGCTGAATTGACCTCCTCCAATGATGCAAAGAAGCCAGAATTTGTTAAAGGGAAAAAAAAATTAATAGAGTTCAGAAGCACAAGAAAGACAAGGTAACAAAGACTGCTAGAGCAAATGGGACTGATGAACATTTGATAGCTGCTTGTCTAGGATCTAATCCCCTTCCTTCCCCTTCCCCTAAAACATTAGTTTCCACTGGGGATCCCTGCAGTTCTTAAGGAGGGGACTCTACCCTGGTTCCAGGGCTGGCACAAACTCATCAGTGGCCATAGTGAATGGTTCAAAGAGAATGAGATCTAAGCCAGTACAAAAAATGAATTTTATGATTTTTTCCCTAGATATAGTTAGTCAAAGTTGTTATTCTCTCTCTCTCTCCCCTTAGAAATGGGTACTTATCAACCCAGCTGAATGAGGATGGCAAGAGAAGCCAGTCTTAGGATAATAATGACCCCTCTAAAGACAGGATGATGGAAGGAAATTGGGTCATTGGTGACATTACAGATAATATTAATGAGCCAAAGCATAAATTATGTCTAAATCCAGCCCTATTTTTGGACTTTTCAACTATAGAAATTAGTAAGTTCTCTTTACCATTTAGATCAATTTGAAATGTTGTTTTCAGGTATCTATAAAGAATCCTAATAGATGCAAGGACAAATACATATTGTTATACAATAATTGTAGAAAACATTTGTTATATTGAAATTATATTTTTTAATTTAAGATAAATCATTAAAATTAGCAATTCAACAAACTCCCAGAAGAGATTTGGAAAAAAAAAATCCTAACAACTGGAAACTGTAACTAGGTTTAATAGGAGATTCATTTGAAGGTTTCATTTTCAATTTCCTGAAGTAAAATTACTTACCTGGAAGTGTACTGTGCCTATATTCTATCTTGTGCTGAGGATTCTTCCTGAAAAAAAAAAAGAAAAAAAGAAAAGAAACCAAAAATAAGATTTAGTTTTCTGGTCATTAAAAATTAATGACTATTTTAATTTAACCAGAATATTCACTAAATCTCACAGAAAAATTAAAGGTCAACAAGCCTTCTTGTTGAAAAGCATTTGCTTTTCCTTGGTAGTTAACTCTGGTCACCATGCTGTACAAAACATTTGCTTTTTAATTTCCATATTTACTGATGCCAGGCATGTTTCTAGATGAAAAGATGGAGTGGTACACCAAAGTTCTTTCCTTATGACTTATACTCTACAGAAAGACAGTATGAGGCAAACAAAATCTATCATATTCCTCAAGTAAAATATATTTTATTTCTAAAATATCAATGTTACACATATAAAAACACAATGTAAATAGTATATAAAATATAAATCATAAAATATCAAATATGTGTTTGTGTGTAATATCTAAAAGGAGACTTTTAAGGCTCTTTTTGAATCCACAGATAAAAGCATTTCAGTCATGCTTCCTCAAAGAACACCAATCAATTTTTACGAGAAAACAGGAAAGTCGGTTTGTGTTGAGAAATTCATGTAACATATTCCAAAGTCAAACAGAAACTACTGTTTGAATATCTACTTATGATTATGTAAACTTATGATTGCTTCTATTATTTTACTAGTTAAACAAATATTTGGGTACACTATATCTGCATATGCAACACATTCTCTCCAGATAATGCAAAACTGCCTAAGCAGCAAAAATCCAAAGCAGTCACTAGTTGCCCAGTATTCACTTGATGGGTATCTACCTCTCTCAGAGGGACCTGACAAAGGAGAGCAGGGTGCACTGAAAACAGACTTGCTGAGGTGAACAGTTCATGCGAAGCTGTTGTGAGGATGCATGGGGAATACACATGAAGTCCTTATTCATGGCAGGTGGTAAGTAATTAACGTTAGCCACTCATTCATTCATTATTGGTTCAAGAAACAGTCACAGAACACTGACTACCTGCCAGGCCCTGTGTCAGGGGTCAGTGACAAATCTTACTACTAATACCTCTTCTTCACTGGTAACTTCTACAAAATGAACATAAAACACAGTACAAGAGTGTAACCACCCAGTTAATGAGGGTCAAAACTCAACAGTTTTGACAACTGGAAAAAAGATTCTACAAAAGATTGTGTGTTTGGCAAAATTAACCCAAATTTCACCTTTTGATGGAAAAGAAACTTCAAAATTGAGAGGAATAAACTGGACAACTTAAATGTGATGAAGAGAGCTGCCATGAACAAAGTTGTGGAAAGATTTGTGGGACGACCTTTCCTTACTGAACATGCTGGTGCAGGTCAGTGGTTTGTTTAACTCGGTCTCTATTGAAGCACAGTTAATGCTGGACGTCAGGCAAGGGGGGACAGGAAAATGAGAGACAGGAATACCAAAAGTGTGCTTCATCAGTAACTTAGAAAAAGACTGCTGGTCAGTTGAGATTATTTTTGGTAACTTTTTAAAACTGGTAACCTTTTGAGACAAACTGAAACCTAGTGCAAAGTGGTAAGACAGTACACTGAAATTACATATGCCTTCACTAAGACTCTTCAAGTGTTAACATTCTACACAAATTCCTCATTATTATCTGTTTAAAGTCATCTGAGATTTAAAGGCTTTTTTTCTCCATTTTAATATATGTTTGCTTCAGGTTCCAAGCAGTCCTATCTTTTCTTGCTTTGCCCTTAACACAGCAGGGTTACTGAAAAGTTAAATATCATCTTAACTGGTTGCTATGGGAGTCTCCTCCAAACGCTGCTTAGAAACCCTCAAGCAGTTAAATACCAGGCTTTAAAAACAAGTACAGAAATGGAACCAGAGGCGCTAACAGAGACCAGCACAGCTTCTGTACCAAACAGCAGTTAAAAGGCTGCTGATAGAAGTTGTCAGGCTTGAGAGACTGAAAGGGACAGTGACTTAAAAAAGGCAAAGTGAAGATGCAGCACAGAAAACGGATGGTGACGGAGGAGGTAATGGTTCAACCTTCAAGCTGCGGACAGCAGTTCCCGTTCTCTGTCACTGAAGCACATGCCCAGCTGCTCTAGGTGCCTCCCTGACACAGTCTAACCTCACATGCTGCCTAGGGAAAGCCGAGCTGCTTCCCGAGGGGAAAAAGACGGATAGGGAACAAGTTTTAAGTTTATATAGTCCATAGAGAAAGAACAGGAAAATGTTTTATGAAATTTTGTACCGAGAAAAAGAAATGATTTTTAGCTCTATACTTTAGCTGCATATTTTCATCTGCTTTAGAGAGCCTCTTTCATATTTCTTTGAGGCTCTGCTAATGGTTCCCATCTTTCCCTGGGAGAACCTGCTATTTTCATAAAAAGACAGGTATAAGACTGCAATGTGAGACCTGCCGGAAACTAACTGAACTGATATTTTTCCACATTTAGCTTGAAGACTAAATTTCCAGTTTCAAACAAAAGTATTGACTAGTATCAGTAAAGTTTTTGCTAGTTGTTTCATTGAAGACGAAGAAAAAATATCCTCCCTGACAGATTCAGAAGTTTGCTGTTTGGAGTATTTTCAAATATATTTTATTCTTTATTGATGATAAATTTAACTAACAGAATAAATGGACTTTAGTAGAAAATGAGCCATAAAGGAAAAGATAATATATCATATGCAGAAGGACACACTGAAAAAAATTAGACATGTTTTGTTTATATAGTAGTTTCAATGTGAAAAAATATCCTGGCCCTGGCCGAGTGGCTCAGTTAGAGTGTCATCCTGTACACGAAAAGTTTGCAGGTTTAATCCTCGGTCGGGGCAAGTACAGGAGGCAATGCATCGATATTTTTCTGTCACACTGATCTTTCTGTCTGTCTCTCTCCCTCCTTCCCTTTCCCTAAAAATCAATAAACTATAACTTCAGGTGAAGATTTTTAAAAAGAAAGCAAAAATATTCTGAATGTTAAGTTCTTACATTATCCTCTCTCTCAAGGTCCCTCATAATCTCATTCCCAACTTTTATTTGCATCCCAATCCTTCATTTCTACTCACAGAGTAGTTTTTGCTTCTTACCCATTGATAGGCACTTGCTCATAGCCTTATTGCCGAGAATATTATTCTCATTCTACATAGCTCCCTCAGGAAAGCAAGTCTGACAATCACTGGCAATCTCCAGAACGTGTTGGCTATCTTCATACTCACCACGTAATTTCTTATACTGTCATCTAACTTTCAACACAAATGTGTGTGTGTGTCTCCATCATCTGTTAAATGACCTGCTGGAGGGAATGGGGTTTCTCTTACACTTTTCCTATTACATCTTCTATAGCAAGTACATATGTGCCTTTCACAAGATGGCATTCAACTGTATTTTTCATAAATTAATCCATTACAATATAATCACCGTTTTCCTTCAAAAAAGTTTTTAAAATTAAGTTTTTGCATGAGTTTCCAAAATGATGAAATATTTAAAAGACACTTGTTTTTGCTACCTATTATTTCTGAGGAAGATGACTGTTGAAAAGAACTGGCAAGGATCATTTGCAATACAAACTCAAGTTTAAAATTCTCCTTGGCTGGAGTACAGAAAGCAGTTTCTACTAATTTCTAGACTGATACTGAATTTTCTCCAGTTAATGTTAATACATACTTTTTAATAAACAGTAATCCACAGATCCTGATGTTTTTGGAAAGCTATTCTTTGAAAGACAGTTGCTCTATTGGAAATATGCCCAAAATGCCTATTCTCAATAGGTTAAAAAGAATGTCAGTGTGGTGCAATTGCTTTGCACTCCCACCTATAAAGTTAATAAAGTACCCACTGAACCTTTTTATACAAACCTATGACTAAAATAAGGTAGAATTTCCTGCCATCAACAATTCAGATTACTGCTCCAGGAAACAGTGAAAATCTGAGAGTCACATTAAGCAGACTCCACTGCAATCAGGTTCCTGAAATGCTGACTGCTCAGCCTCATAAGACACTTAACTCTAGTCAATCAATCACTCAGGTCATCAAGGAACACAGAGTTCTTCACAAATACTTATGAGACAGACGCCACTGTGTCTTACACCTGTTCTCATCTGGCTTGCTCAACTGGAGCGTTATGTTGTGGAAGGGGCTCTGGTTTCAGGATCAGAAGACCTAAGTCTGCATTCAGACTACCCCGTTTACAGGTTATGTGATTCCAGGGGAAGTCCTATGAACGAAGTCTCCCTCTCCACATCTGCAAAACAGGGATAAGAGTGCTTGCTTCACACGAGGTTGTTCCAAGGGTTAAATGAAGTAATGTGTATAAACATTTGTAGGCTATTAAGCATTTCACAAGTGTCAGCTATTTTTATAGAAATAGAAATCAATTTTAATCTAAGATAGCCAACAATGTCTGAGAACTGTGCCAGTAAAAGTAAATAATTGCCAATTAATACTAAATAGCTGAGTTTTGTCTTCAATAACATATACAGTTATTATAGTTGAATATTTCCCCAATCAAACTTCACAAATTTATAGGATATTTTCTAACATTTGCCTATGCATATTCCATTTTTAAAAATCAGTTATTTCACAACAAGGCAGAATGTCCTTTTCATATAACCCTAGGTTAACGCTAAGTGGCAATTTTGTATGGTCCTTTGGGGGCATCTGAGCATTTGAAACAACTTTCAAGGACAATGCCAAATTCCACCCAGGACTTTTTCCTAATAATGAATGGAAATACTTACTCAGAGTTCATTCATAAAAGATTTATATCAATGTTTTTCACAAATGGCATTTTCTATAACTCAGCTGGCCTCAAAATCTTTTCTGTGGTTTGTTTTTTTTTTTTGCATTATTGTTAATTATTAACAGTTATCTTTTGGTTCTAAACATAGAGAGCTACACACCCATAACCACACCAGGTTTTTGTGAGCTTTTAGATTTAAAAATATACATTTTCCAAACTATTTCTCATTTTAATCATATAGATATGTGAATACAATGCATATCTGAAGGAAGAGTATTTCAGGAAGAGG